TCTTCCGATGAGCAGCATTCTGACTTAGTTTGTTAGGGAACTTATGTCTTTGATGTGTAAATTTATGTACTTTGTTTTTCTACAGAGAGAAAGGCATTTCCAAAGTATTCCCAGGTCAGATTTCTGTGGCAGTCTCTGCTGTCATCAGTAAGAAGGAAGTTTTGTGTTGCATGTATTAACTTCTATACCAATCTCAGGATTTTATGGTACATCCTGGATGAAATGAAGGGCCTATATGTCTTCGCCCTCCCATGGTAAATATGCATCTGTTCATCTCTACAAAGAAACCTTTCGATGAGAAGAGTTGCCAATAGGTGTTCTCCATCACATCAGAGATACGGCTGTTGTTAGGGCAATCAACTGGTATGCCTGTACTGGCATCCATCATGTCATAGAAAGATCAGCTCATACCATACTTCAGTTAATTGTTTTGTCATGATGTGGCATCCTACATTCTCACCCAGAATGGTGCAGTAAGTATTCAGATTCAAGCAAAGTGATTGCATGTTATACCTAGCCGCCGATGATCGTTGAATTAAGATTGCCTGTATCCTGAGGGAAGAATCGGATTAGAACAATCTATGTCCTCATTGACTACAGTCTGAGGCACTGGGAGCAGGAAGATTTCAGTTAGTGTTGCCACATTACAAAAGCAGTTCGGGGAAGAAAACCTCCTTTTTTATGTATAAATGCAGATTTTAATTTTGTGGCTGTCTGCAGAATATGAAGCTATACCTCAACCTGGCTGGATATCCACCTGCACTTTAACACTTACCTTTGCAAAAAGCTTTTAAAATTGTATATAATGATAGCAGTCAGATATAAAATTAAAAATGCTATGACTCTTTAGCTATGTTCTCTTGAATATCCCTACGTGTTTGTGATTACCTGCTTTAATGACCTCTTTCCTTTGTTTTAGTCGGTGCCTTTTTGGTGGCACAACGCATGATAATACACAACGTTGAAATTTACTACAAGTTTTAAAATTTTTTCAGCATCTCTGCATTTGCGTTACATACCTTGTCTCTTAGGTGAAAGAAAAAAGGGGGCAAAATGTCTTGTATTAAAATGCCTGTATATTAGGATGTCAATAGGAAAGGTGAATATGTACTGTATTTCCGTACTGACATTGAGTATGGACATAAGGGAACATTCTTTTTGCCTATAAAAAGGCTGATCATATGATCATAGCTGACATTTAGACAGATAATTATTCAGTAATGTAGTACTAGCCATCTTTTTTTTTCCTGTGTTCATATAGCTACAAGATGGTGGTTTATAAGACTTCCTCTCATATCACAGGTTTCAGGTTGTCCTTTTAAACCCACAATTTATTTTCTTCTTCTGAAAACATACTTTTATTTTAAGTGTTGTGGTGTTTTAATAGATTACACGTATCACTTGTAGGTGAGGTGTCAGAGTATAATCTATATTCTGTTTTTCTGTGACCAATATGTAAGAAAACAACAGAATGACAATTATTACAAAATTAATGCCGTTAGCCATGAAAACTTACTTTGCATTGTGCAAAGTACACAAAATAGCATGCGTCTGTCTCACTGAGGAGACAGATGGAAATTACTTGTCTTATGAACATGACTTTCTTTTGAATAACAGCCTGGAGAAGTGCCTCTAAAAAGACTAAATACCTACAGAATGCTAAGATTGTTCAAAAGTAACATTTATTTTAGGAGAAGACACGAACCAACCCAGTTATAAGATAGTGTGTCTTTATGATGTTGTCTTGTGTATGTCCTGTTGGGCTACCTGATAATTCATATATTGCTTAACTACCCAAAATCTCACAATTCATTTATGACATAAATTTCTAAAATAACAGAATACTAAATCTTCACTAGTTTCTCATTGTTAGCTAACATACTTTTAAAATTTATTTTAACTCATTTTATTTTTATTCAAATCAATCCAGGGTTCCACCATTCCGTAGTACTGGTCTAAAAGTAGTATCTGTTTGGTAACTGAGGACTGATTTAAGTCCAAGTTCTGTGAGTACTTAGATTTAAAATGAAAACTTTTGGAGTCCTAACCTTTAGCTACTGTAGTGGAACAGCTTAAACTTGTCATTAAACAACTTGTCATTCTGAGGTATTACCAGAAGTTTTACAAAATATTAAAATTAAAACTTAATTTCTCCTTGAGTGCTGATACTTGTATGTAACAATTTAGATCTAGCAAGAAGAAATCAAAGCATTTAATGCTTAGTGTGGCCTCTCTTTTTTAGTCTGATGTCAGAAAGGAGACATGTTACAGTGGAACGTGAAAAGCAGCTCATTTCAGAGGGTCTCCTCTAGGATCAATGCATTTGTTAAGGCCACGGTAAAAAGCTGTTGTAGTTTCCTCCAAATCTTTCACTTAAAGGTGAATTTCACCTTACAATAACAGCTGTTCAATAGAAGCATTTGTAGGAATGTGTATGTATCTGTTGGAGGGACAATAGATAAGAAGTAATTTAGAACACCTTGTGAACTTCTTTGGCACCAGAAAAAAAGATCTTTCTTGAGTATTGCATAGATGAATATAGTCTGAATGGCTAGAAGTATAGTGAATCTAAAGCTGAATTACTGGTGTGCAATTCTAAGTCATTAATTGTCAAATGCACTAATGATCTCATCGTTTAAGGGGAAGACTGTTATCAGAAAAAAAGAAGAATGCATGATTATGCCTCTCCCCTTTCATATGTCTGTGTACACCTCCACCATTTTGTCTTCAATGAGTATCAGATCCAAAAGAAATCCATTGCACAGGAGAATAGAACTGTGTCCAGAAAGGGAGCTTATACATTGCAGTAGAAAATGAGAGACTGAGTATGTGACTGATACTGTTGAGGGGGGAAATTCTTAAGGTGGAAGTTACAAAAACTCCACGTTATATGTCGTCTTCAACTTCAGCCATGATTAAATAGAAATCATTTCTGCTGTTCAGATGTGAGCTCTTTATTGGTGGAACCTAGACTGGTATAACACTTAGAAGTATTGAAAGCTGACCATGTAGATTCCGTGGAGCGCAACACCATGAATAGTTATGGCCTTACTATTTTCAGTAGATTCACCAAAGACTGTTGTACTGTGAGATCCTACCAAATGTGACACAGTATATACTATTTTTTAAGTATTAGTTAGGAGGGATGCAGTACTTTTTTCTGCTGGTACCTCACACTCCTGATACGCTAATTGGAGGGCAAGCAGAATTAACAAGCTAATGTACTGACTTTAAAAACAATAGTAATTGATACACAAGATAAAATTTTAATCTGTTTTTGTTCTAATATGATTTCTGTCTGAATTGTATAGGTTGTGATAAGTTGTGTAAATAGTTGTAAGTTCAGAAAGTCTTTTGTGATGAGAGGCGTATTGTTATACATAACGATATACGTAATGAGGCCTTCGTAAATGGCTGTTGGACGATCTCAAGTAGATAGCAGCCAGTGAGTCAAAGATGTTATTTTTGTGCAGCACTAACTTCCTTAATCTGATCAGCATCACTGAAAGCATCTCCCTGTCCATGTGCTTTGGGAGAGCAGTCTGCGTTAGACGCTTAGCTTGGAATTCGGTCGTTTAAGAATTGCCAACCTACAGTGACAGAAAGGCAGTTCACCAGTTTACCAACACCACGTGTGAGCCTAGGTATTATTAACAAATCCATGGGAATGGACTTTTGTGGTAGTATCCTATTCCTGTTTCCTCACAGAAACATGCAACTGCTCAAAATATCAATGCACTGAAAGGCAAAAATATGATTCGCCATGCAGAGTAATGGCAACTGGCATATGATTTATCATGCCCCATCATATGACGAGCTAGAATATTATATTGTCAATGTAGCGTGTCAGAGCCTTTGGAAGTAATTTGCAGTATCTCTTTGTAGCTGTTTACAAGATGGAGTTGGGGGCCAGGCACTTTTTGTTAAAGGAAAATGGAGGTTTCACTGCTGGGTCATTACAGTATTTTCATGATAATGCTCTGTGCTAATATGCTGTATTTAGGCAGTTAATAGGATAAAAAGCTTCTGAGTAGAACACGGTAACTATCTGTCAGAATTACACTAACTTCCAGCTATTAATGCTATAATCCCAAGGTTTCCACAAGTAAAAATGTAATGTGAATTGATGAGAGGTCAAATTACGAAAGAGTAAATTGTAGTGAACTATCATTATAAATTATTGTAAATTATAGTGTGTTTCGTTACAAGGGAAATCTGTCCTGCTTTGTAAGTGAGTTTTGGGGTTTTTTTCCTTTCCTAAAAGATCATTCAATGGTCAAGGTTCATACTAACACCTTTTTAATGTGCTTCAAATATTCGATATCTTGTTTTCATCTTTATTGTTTCTTTTCTTTCTTGTGAACCTGCTAGGAGATGGAACTGAGCAGAACGATTCCAAAAGCAGATTATCCAGAAGAGGGCAGCCTCAAACAGAGGAGTACGCGTAAGTGTATTAAGTGCATTGTTGGTGCAGTGCCGTGATTTTTACTTAGGAAAGATTAATATCTCATACACAGTTAAATTAATAGCGATTATTTTTTAATACTTCTAATTCCACAGGATTGGATATTCAAAGGCACTGAATGGCAAGCTTACAGTTATAGGTACAGATTAATGCAGGGTTTGCAGTACAACTGTCCAGCCAGTTCTGTATTTCAGTGGTAGTGTGGGGCATATGACACTGCCGCTTACAGGAGTCATGCTCATAGTACTACGTAATGAGGTATCATAATTAAACTACTGAAAGGAAGATATGTTTTGCCTTTCCAGACTCTTCTGAAAGTGTACATTCCTTTACCTTCTTTTTGGAAGCGTTAACTGCCAAAGATACAGGGCCAGTAATGCAGGACACTTTTTGATTAAAAACTAGCCACAGATGGTCATGGTGAAATTTCACGTTTGCTTTGCAAAATCTTTTCAAATTCTTGTCTTTTCTGCCTCGATCTTATCCTAAGCTATAAGCTTCCTGACATTAATGGACTTTGAGCAGTCCACAGGTAGTAAAGCACTTAAATAAATGTTTCAGGTGAAGTATCTAGTAAACTGCTTTCCTAAACTTGAAAGGTGTGAGGAAGGAGAAGTGGTAAAATATGTTAGAAGTCAGGCTGCTAGTGTCTCATGTTGTTAGTATTACTTAATCTTTTCTGTTACCGAAAACATATTTAATTGTTTATAACGTTGCCAAATCTCAGCTGAAAAGTGAACTGAAGTTTTCTGTGCCAACAGTGAGGTGTCAGGCTAAGCGTATTATGTATTTCAGCCAAAACACACACATCTATCCCTAAGAGGTCGACAAAAGAAGTATTTGTTTCAAAAGAAGTATTTGGTGAAAAAGTGGAAAGCTGTGAATCTCTCTAAGTTGTATTGTGTCAGGGATGCCTTTCATCTTTATGGGAAGTTACCCCTTTCAGAAATCCTGGAAGCTAGGAGGTTTTTTTAATATAGAGGTTGTATATGCTCAGTAAAACTACTTTGAGTTTAAGCTTTAGTCCAGCTAAAAATCTGAAAGTGTCTTTCCTCAATAAGCATGTTTATGCTTCTTGCCACTAATACAATAGTATCCTAGATAGTCCTCCATCCATTTCCATCCTTTTTACTCAACTGAAATGGCATTTGCCAGAGATTCTTGTGCTCTCTTATTAACAAAATTTCAAAAAGATGTCTTTATTCTCATTCTTCTTCAACATTGTCTATATTTTTGTTCTTGAAATCTTATTATCCTGTTGTGTTTTCCTGCCTTTTTATTTGATGCTTCCATTTGTCCTCTGGTGGATTCCTGACATACATCTTTGACATCTGTCCAAGAAAGTCTAATTCACAGCTCTGCATTGACATAGCTATACCACATCTCCTCTTCTCTCCTCTACAATATTATAATTTTTGTTATCATTCTGTGTAATGTGAGTGTCCTGTATTTCATTCAGGCCCAGTACCTGTGCATCCGATTCAGTGTTACATAAATTCTCCTTTCTGTAGGTCTGGCACACTTTCTCTCCAAAATCTGAGGCGCATTTCCTATTACTCCAGTTTGTCACTAAGAGCTCACCTCTCAGTGTAATGCAAACCTCCATTCCTTTCTTGGCCGGCTTCTTTGTGCTTTCTGTGTGTTCCTGCTTCTGAGAACAGGTCATAGTCTAAGTCCTGTTGATACTGACAGCAGAGCGCAGCTGCTGTGCTCTAGCTTGGGTCACTGGAAGAAGTATCACCATGCTAGTACAGTATTCACGCAGGCTAGTTAATCAACATTGAAGAGTTGGGGTTTTGAACGTGAGTGGGTTTCTTTCATCGTATGCTTACGTATATGTTGATTCTGTTATTCTGCTCTTGTATTCTGTTGTACGTATTGAATATTTGTATCAGTTGTGCCTGGTGTCCCAGATGAAAATTCCCCTGGGACTAGATATTTTATGCATGCATTTCTTTTTTAGTAACAAATAATATTGGGACATTTATTCAACTAAATATTATGTTTCTTATGTTTGAAGTTGTAGCTGTTCCTTTTGGTTATTGCACTTGAAGTCTCAATGTGTTTGTTGGGGTTTTTTTCTTGTAATGCATGCTTTCCCCCATCGTTAGCTTGAAATTTCTCGTTGTAGGACAGTAAGTATCTTCTAAGCGATGGAGTTTGACAGATAGTAGAATTGTTTGGGTGGCATGTTAGATAGTAAAAAATAAAATCTTACGGTTGTACCAGTGGAAAGCTGTAAACTGATTAATTGGGGGTTTTTTGTGGTTCAATAAATCGCTCAGTCAACACACATAGACTTGTGTTTTGGTGATAGTAACCTTGAAATGCAGAACAATTTGAGTAATCATAGTCTTTATTGACAAGTAAATGTTTGCATTCAATAATTCAGTATGTTTTTTAAAACCTGCAAGATTTGCAGAGGACGTGCAGTTAGTGACGTGCCAGTAAAACACGTTTATAAACTAACACCTACACAGTAATATTTATGTGAACTTCCATACACATTATTTTTACAGGTGAAAAATATATTGTACCGTACATTGACATTAGCATTTTCTTTTCTGCATAGCCTTCTGTTCCCATGTTGAAATACAACAGCGATAAGTTTTTCTCATACTGTAGTTCTGTTTCTGAATTTGAGGCTTCTTATAGGGGTGATTCTCCCTTCTGTGGGAAGAAGCAGTAAATAGATTATTTTTCTGTTGTCTCCGTTTGATTTGCATATTTAAATGGTCCAAAGAGAAAATAGCCAAAACATTAATTGCAGGAATTTTTTCAGTAGAAATTCAGTGCAAATCCTTAATCATGCATTGAAGTCTGCCGTTTAGATCTAATCTGATTGTATATTATTTTAATTTTTTTTGCAAAACGGGTTAAGCTCTGAAAGCTGACCATCTTTACACTGGTAGTAAAGTACATTTGTAGCTTTAGAGGGGAGATAGTACAACAAAGCTGAACAAATAACTTCATGCGATGTTGTCCCTATTGGGCTCAGTTTTAACTTCTTGTGTTTCCTATGGCTACAAGCAGTGTCATACGGGCTTAACAGTCCACAGGTTTGGGGAGCTCATCCTCGTGATTAAATTCCTGTTCTTAGGGAGTTAAATTCTTGTTTTTACCCTCGTCTTCCAGCACTATCATAAGAAAATCCTCTACCATTGCGGAACCTGAGTTCCTGTCTTTAAAATTACGATATATGTATTTTTGGCAGTTTGTGTATAAATCTGAACCAAAGGCAAGTTATGTTTGGTATTATATGACACAATCGGGTTGCACAGCCCATCTGTTCACAGCTTATCTAGATCCATCCTGATTACAATGTAAAGAAACTCTGGGAAACATTGTAAACACTGATTTTCAGCAAGTGGTGATGTGGCTAATTGCAATTGTTTTATTTTAACTTTTTATGCAGGTTCATGGAACTGCAGTCCAAAGTGAAAAGTTCACTGGTTAGAATTCTGAAAATAAGAGCAAATCTGAAAAGCCTGCAGGTATGGTTTACACTGATTTATTTTGTTAATCTACTTTTAATGTAGGATTTTTATTTAAAAAAAAAAAAGAAGAAAATCTTATATGCAACATTAAAGTTTTAAGGAATAGGGAAGCAAATAAAATACTTGAAACGGGGCAAGTTTCACTTGGAAATCCAGAAAATGCAAAAAAAAACCCAGAACTTAGTAGAATTCTTTTTTTAAACTAGAGGAGTTGCTTTTCCAAATACACTATTTTTCATTTGTGTCACTCCTCATTTTGTACACGAATAAAAGCATATGAAGTAGTTATCAACTATTATTTATAACTTGAAGTATGAATTATTACTGCATAGATTTTTATGTCCTTGAAGATTAAAATCCCTTTGTGTTGAAGTGATTGTACTATTTAATTTACCTCTAATGTATTATCATTTAATAGTCCGTTTCATACATGCTAAAATGCAAATCACTTTTCTATTTTATTCACATTTTGTTTCCTGAATAAATTTAGCACAAGGTTCGTTGCTTATATCAATATCTGAGAAACAATTCAGTGTATTCAAAGTATTGTATTGATTTCTTTTACTTGCATATGTGGTCTGACAATGTTTTATTTACAAAGAGAACTGATACTAATTTAAAATATCTTAATTGAAATGTTTATTTAGAAGACCCTATTGAAAAATCCTTTGTATTTCTTCTGAGATTGATAGTGTATGGTTTTAGGTCTACCCTGAAATGCTGAGGAGCCTGTTCAATAGAACCTTAAATGCTTGTAGATTTGCATTTTACTGACACATTGTAGCAAGCTTGTACATGTGCCAAGATTGCTTTTCTGGGGATCAAGTGTTAATCTGTTTAAACAGCTGAAGACTTACGAAGGAAGCGTAAATAACAGGAGATTTTTAAGTAACGCTTTAAAAGGCACCTGAATGCCGTTTTCAAAAGTAGCATGCGTTCTTACACCCTTAGACTTTTTACTCCCGTTGACTGTCTGTGAGGTCGAGTCTTATGAATCGTTTGTAGCTTGTGAATAATTTCCAAAAGTTCGTTCTTTCAGGTGTTTCCAACAAGTTGTAGACGTGTAAGTAGATAGTTTGGGAATGAGATTTAACAATGTCTTTAATTATGTGGGTTTCTTCCAGGCTTTAGAGGGCAGTCGAGAGCTTGAAAATGTTATTGGTGTCTCGGACTCCTCTTGCATCTTGAGTGCGGAAGTGCAGAAAACCCAAGTGCTAAGTAAGGAGGATTTTCAATAATATTTATCCCCTTTATAACAGTTTTACGATGATCACTCCAAACGTTTCCTAGAGTCATACCCCACTCTGTGTTATAATGGAGTGTTATACCCCAGCACTCTGACATCTGAGTTCTTTTGGTCAGAGCCAATGCACCTTAAATGTCCTTGTGCATCCAGCCAGGGACATAAAAGAAAGGCAACCCCAATGGCCCGCTCTTCTAACTCACAGTCACAGATGGGGAGGAAAAACTTGCAAGAGCAACACCTTTTCTTATGTAAATAGTTAAATACTTAGTGGGTAGTTAGCTAGTGATTAGGCTAAACGTTTGCACTTTGATTGGGTTGCCTTTCTTTTCTTTTTGCAAGGAAGTTGTTTTGTTTGTTTGCCTGTTAGGAGGATTAGGCTGAATATAGGTTTCCAGGCTTTAAAAATTGCTATTCATGTGTCTTTAAACGATGGACATACCAGATGCTTATTGTGTTGGGATAAGGGCAGTTTACAGATGGCACATCTGTAATACTTTTCCAAAGGAGCCCAGAAAGCCAAAGATTTTTATTTATATCTGTCCATTTTTAGGAAACTCTTTATCCTTACTCCGAGTCAGAGGTTCTTGGGACATGTGAATCCTCAGCAGCGAAAAGTGCATTCATACTTCTCTTCCCGGGTGCCTCTGCAACTAGAAGGGGAGGAGGTGATGGGAAAATATTCTAATGCAAAAAACTTGCGTTATGGATAATTGCAGAAAAAAAAGTTATTGGCTTTCAGGGAGAAGAAATAAAGATCTCCCATACCAGGTCATTCCTTTAAAAGTGGTAAAAGATAGATGTAGGCACCCAAAGGGCCCCAATCTTTATGCCTCAGAACAGTTTGTTCATTTGTTTTCACAGTAGCAACATTTCTTATCTGTACCCATGTGACATGTTTGTGGTACAGGTGTGTGTCTGAGACTGCATTTGCCTACCACTACTTCTCCTCAAAGCTTTGCATATATAACGTTGTTCTTGTAGACTTTTCATACCAACCACTGACAATCTAGTTTCCAGCTGACCAGGGAATATGAATAATATATGCATCCACATACTCCCTTGTCTCTGGACAAGCATGCAAAGGTGATAAACCAGTTTCTTAACCTGCAGCAAATGTGATGGCTTGCTGGTATACATTACTCCTGTCTGGTTGCTGTTTTCTGCAGAGTGGAACTAGCTATAGGAGAGCAAAACCTAGGGCAACCAGGAATGCTGCTTTCTTTGCAGCTGGAAACGGGTGGACAGTAAAGCTGCAAGGACTAGAGAATTCTTCTTACCAAGGAGCACTGTGACTCTTCTAATGCATTAGGTGCATGCGCCCCAGCAGTGGCATTTACATACCACACAGTTTCAATAGCTACCGCTGTTTAAATTACCATTTCTTTCCTGACTTGTATTCCAAAGCTCATTCAGTTTTCATTTTGCATGTGTATACGCTGTACTGATTCCCACTGTAATGCATATAACCAGATGTTTTCTTACACAAAATGAAGTTTTCTGAAAATAGTCTGTGTTTACATTACTACCCTACGCTGTGGATAGGGCAGTAAGACTGCCCAAATGAGATGTCAGGCTTGTTGGCACTTTCTGTTATGTCCACTCTTTCTGTTAGCTGCTTGTTGCTTTCAAAATGGGAAAGAATGATCTTTTCCCCCATCTCTGAATTAGGAACAGAGCGCTATGTCAGCACTAGAAGACAAAAATGGGAACAAAATGTGGTATGAGGCTGTAAGCTTAACTTCTAAAGGTTATGTTAATTTTGAAAATTCATTTTTAATTTTTTTTTTGGAGCACAGTTACATAGGTAAGTGGGGGGGGGTTTGTCATCACTTGAAGAAAAATCTAAATGCTGTGAAAGTGAAAAAGGCAGCGTAGGTATTATTTTCTTTTAAATCTCTGGGGCAGCAGTTACTGATTTCAGATTTATTTCTTCACTAGTGAGTCAAGCAGAAGAACTGCAGCTGTTGAAAAGAAACCATGGAAAAGTTCCTGGCCGAGGTAAGAAACTTTTTCTGACACCTGTGTAACAGATGTTTTGATGATTCCTTTTAGTTGATTCCTTCTTAGTTCTTTCCACCTGAAATAAGTTGGGTAACCTTTAGTATGTGAAAATGATGATACTCAAATGTGTTTCTTGTGAAAACTTTTGCACTACTCAAATGTAAATTTCATCTTTTCTGCTATTTTCATTGTATTACATATTTCTTCATGAAACTGTGCAAGGAGAAGAAATTATTAATGGTCTTGCACTTGAGGCATGATCTAGATATAAATGCAGTCAGGTCCTAGAGACTTTACGTACCTTTAATCTATACCAGTTATCCTTGTTCTTCCTCACTCTCCTCCCTCCCCCTGCATTTTCAATGTACAGGCCAAGCAGCACAGTCTTTGCAGCAAAACCTTTTTCACCTTGTATGTATTGTGAGGTATTTAGCACACTCCAGGGGACTGTGAAATCCTAACTATTAGGTTTCTTCATAACTAGTGCTGTGAAAATATTTGAAGTTGGTGGCATTTAATATAGTGTGGCCCGCATAGCCGCTTTAGTGCCTTGTCTAGCTGGGAAGGTGGCGGGGGGATACACACAAGATTTATTTTTTTTCTCTCACACCCAGTAAAATCAACAAACATTCACCACTGATATTCTGATATTTCTGTTATCTTCACTCGTTCTATCTTAAAATAGAGCAAAACTGGAATCAAAATTGGTGATGGCATCTCTACTGCTCTGCCTGACAGCTGTCGCAACCAGCAGGACTGCTTCCTATCACAAGCAGCCCCTTTGATTTTGGTTGTATCAGCTCTTCCACAAGCCTAAATCCTTTCTGCTGTGGGGAATTCTCGTAAAGGAAAGAAAAATGATCAAACTTCAGTTTCCTCGGCTCCAGCAGATTACCACAAAATGAAAAGGAGTGACATCACTTTTTAAGGAATTTGGCTCATTTGTGCAATCTGCTGTTTCTGATTTACAGCTCCCTGTGTCCTTCTGTTCAAATGATCACAGCCCCTGTCTGGTGCTGATAATGGCGAATGCCATGGGCCACTGCAGATTTAAACAGTCATTGCTTCCTTTGTGCGCTGCTTTTTAACGGTCACCAGGATATACATTTATAGTTCCATCTTTGCTCTAGAAACTACCCCCTAACACTAAACATATACCCAGTCTTGTTAGATGAGAAATGAGATAGTTTGTGAAAGTAGGATGGAAAACAGAATTATGAGTTTAAATTGACCAATTTTGATGAAGTTTCAATGTCAATTTTGCTTTAATAAAGAATAAATTCAGTTTTGCAGTCTTCAAAATACAGTAGTAGGAGAGGCAAAGAAGTATGTGATAAAAGCATTTGGAGATGTTTTACTTTGCCTTTTAGTTTTGGATGTGGTTTTTCATAATTATTTTTAATTAGTTATGCTCAAGACTTAAAACTTATGACTGTTCTGTGGCTTGATACAGATGGAATGTCACATTATCATCACATGGTGAGGCATGAAATTTATTTACTTTACATAAACAACCTCTACTTAAAACAACTTAATACAGAACATTCCTTGCTCAATGGGCAGCATTATGTAGAACTCGGTATATCACTTTGTGTGGCTAGCATAAAAAATGGCATCATTGTTTGTCCATGACTAGCATTTACAGTAAACAAAATGTTTTTAAATAGAATGTAAGCAAACTGCAAAGCAACTGCCAAGAGATAAAATCTAGTCGGTATGTTGCAGTCCAAAACATGCTTTATGTGTATTGAGAATAAATGTGTAGGTTGCGATACGTGTATTTTAAAGGAAAATTTAATAGGTTCAGTGTTTCAAGGAGTGAAGATAACATTCTAAAGAGGGAAGCTACTTAAGCTGATTCTTGCAGATTTTACTAATACTTTGCTTCCCAAAAAGAAAAACACTGAGATAAATCATGCCCATGACTCCGTCCGCTGTCTGAGTAAGAAACAAGAGAGTGTTACAGAAGATCAAATACTTGCAGTGTTAAGGACAACTATTTTCAGACTGCATCTTCTTTTCTGTGTTGTGGTTCGTCCTGCTAAGCACATGGGCAAATATGATCACTCCTATTAAGCTTAGTTCTAAATTTTCCTAATTTTCATATTGTTTTTAATGTAAGTGACTGAAGTTTGCACTTTTTGCAACTGTAGTGGTGGTTTTCCAAGAGACTAGATCAGGGTTAACTAGATGGATTTTCATTTAACACCACCTGAAATTACTAATGAAAGCAAAGCTGGAGAGATTAGGGACCAAGCAATACTGAGTTCCCACTCGCCAATCCAGTTTTTTGAAGACTGTGTATATATGGCAAAACATAAAATCCCATTTCAGAAACACTGCAAAATATAGACTCCTCCTTAATGAGCAGAGTTCCTTCTCAAAACAGGTAAAATGGTAAAAATACAATATTCCACTGTTTCTCCCAGTTCATGTCAGTTTAAGTTTGGACTTTGTATTGGGTGTTTGTGTGCAAGCAACTAAATAGCTGGGGTCTGGACTGCTGGTGGGTTGCTGTGAGTGAGGGTAAATCAAGTTTACAATATATTGCTACATTGTTCTCAAATAAAGCAGAATAAATTTGTTGGCTTTCAGACATACTTGAGTGTCTGTGTCCCACCTATCCTTTCTCCTCCTCCTCCTTTGGAATCTTCTGCGGAAACAGGGAATACATCAGGCTTCAGATGTGTATTTTCTGGAACATATCTGTGGATTTTTCCGACAGTAAAACCCCTAACCTAAAAAACTTTTTTTTTTTTCCCCCTCAGCCCAACTTTGTATTCATTTACAGGGAAGAAATTATACCTTTTCTGGGGAGAGTAAGTCTCGTGAACTGGCTAAGCAGAAATTCATTAAATGAACTGAATGAATTCACAAGTAAATTTATTCAGAAACTGAGTTTCTTTCCAGAGTTTCCATTCCTTGAGAGCAAATGGAACAAATACCATGATTGTCTTTGCTTACAGCAAATACTCACTTTTCAGGGAAGTGATGAGATGGATGCAGGGGTTGGACCTAGGTATCAGGAACGGTTTTTTATCTAACAAACAAAGCTGTAGGCCTCTTCGGTAAGAACCAGCACATGAGCTGACTAGAAGGGTGAGCCATATGCTCTTGTTTGTGCAAGCCTGACTTCCAGGCATTTGTGATAGAAGCTTTTCTGAGGTTCAGTTCTTCCATGTTTTTAACCATTTAGAAAAAGCTGCTAATGTGGACACTAACAACAGTTCCTTAGTTCTACCAAGGTCCTTTCAGTTAAATCCTAGGCTTCTTTCCAGCAAAAGTTCGACAAGATCCCTCCAGCAGCCTTTTTGTGGTGTGCATCATCTCTAAAAGCAACAAAGATGATGCCGAAGGACTTTTTTCTAATAGATCGTTACTAGGTGGAGATTTAGAGCTTGTGTTTGCAAATGATACACTTACTGAGCTCACCTGTTTTGTTTACTCCACAGTTAGTTTGAGTGTCCCCATGCAGAGACCCAGAGAAACCATTCTGCCCTCCTGCATTTCCAATCAAAACAAATTGTGAGATTGCCCCAAGGCGCACCTAGAGGAGGAGTGCATCGTATTCTAATTTGTGTTGTGTGGATTAAAAACTGTTGTTGCTCAGGCTAGCTTTGACTGTACCTCTTCTCTCATTCTGTGCAAGTGGGTCTTTTTTTAGTTTGTCACCATGCGAAGTCCTTTACGGTCTAGAAGAGGTAACCAAAACCACTTAGCCTGGTACCCCAAATCTGCAATGCTAGTGGTTTTCCTAGGACAAGTGAGTAATCTTGTCTGCTGAAAGGTAAAGGAGCTCGCAGACAGGTTTCTGTTTGAGCCCCAAAGGCTGCGCTCTGTCCTGGCCGGTTATGGGTCGGTTGGGTTGTACCTCCACCTTCAGAGTGCGTATTTTCAAAGACAACCTGAGGTTTGCGAAGCATCTGGGGCCGAGATCACCGGCACAATAAGCTTTTTGGATGGAAGGAAGGGGGCAAATTACAAACCTCTCCAATGATTTAACATCCTCTGCTATGTAGATGAAATATTAAGCTATTAACTTTTGTGGCAGATACAGAAATGCACATGAGACATATGACTGTAGGCCTCAGATGTATATACATATAGAACTGTCAACCTGCATTTTATATTTGGGTGTCAGCCACATTTATTCATGAATTTCGCACTTGTGTTTATACTCTATTTTCCTGTGTACCTTTTTACAGATGCAATAGCTATTAATTTTTAATTCGAGCGGATCTAGACTTTAGAGTATTAAGCTTAATGAAAAATTAAAAAGAATTGTAGTCCTTTCAACAGCTACATGTAGCAACTCCTACATGAGAATAAATAGTGCTTTCTCCCATGAATATAATTATTTTAAATAAAAAAGAAAAGAAACATTAGTTTGGACTCACTTAGTAGCAATTATATGTTTAAGAGGTGTAAATAACTTGCTATCTAGACATTACAAATATCCAGGTGCTCTGTATGTGCTGATGACAACAAAATTGAAAAGAAAGACTGTAATAATTCTGACTGGTTTTCTCTGCAGAAGATATTGATTATTTGTGTGTGGTGAGAGATTTGGAAAATTCAATTAAAGGAGTTGTGCAAAGGTTTCATAAATTTTCCCTGTACAGCGTGTACACAGACATTGTTGCGTATTAAATCAATGCAGCACTTCACAATATATTTTCTTTGAAACATAAAAATAAATAACATTTAAACAGTTCTGCTTACTACAGAAACAAATTTTATTTTCTGTGAAGCATTTAGTCATGTGCTATCACTGACTCATACACATTTGCCAGCTGTAACAAATTTTATAGACGTTTTCTCCAGAGACATAGCTCATATACTATGAATTTTTAAATGAGCAAATGGTGAAGAAGGGATGTCAGCAATATAAAAATTGATCAGTTAAAAGATAAAAGCATAAGTAAAGAGATTTGTATGGTAGTCTTAATAGGTTTTATTAAATAAAAATACTATAAAAAGACAGTAATGAATAGACTGAAGGTTTTAACTGTGGTTGAGGTGGAGAAAAATTATTCTGGCACATTTAGTACAAGATTGGTTTTATATCACCTGACAGGTGAACATTTTTTTTTTCTCTGCTTTTTAGATCTGTAAATGTTTTAGAGCAGTCAAACTTGGGAAGGAATGGCAGTGGAAGTAGAAGGGGAACAGAAACTTGGGAAGATTCTGCCCTTTTAATGCTTTTGCGGGCTGGGGACAGGAGATGCCACAGCAAAGGGCAGCCGGGCTCCTACCAACCCACCCGCGTGGGGTGAGGTTTCTGGTGACTTCTCCAGCTGCTGCCTTACCCTGCGCAACCCCAAAACATTGAGGTGATGAGAAGAGAGCAAGGGCAGCCTGGCCCTGCACCCAGCCAGGCCTTGTGCTGCAGTCGGCGGCAGCCCAGACGTCTTTCTGGTCACCTCCACAGATCCCTTCCTTTCCTGGCTGCTCTGGTCACAATGGGTTTTCATCCAGAAATTTTGCTCGTGTTTGTTCTCTTTGCTTTTATGTAGGTCAACTTACTTAGGAGTTCTTTAAGAACAAGTTGTTATCTTCATCAGCTCAAACACATACCCCCCCCACCCCAAAAAGTGTAAACTGCTACAACAAGCATTGTTAAGTTTTTGGAGCACGTGAGTAGTAAATTGTATTATTTGATTACTTGAATATCTAACTCGTAATGCCATCTGTGTAAATATTACTACAAATAAGGGTTCTGTCAAAAGGTGCCATCATGGTATGTGTTTGGAAAGAAAGCTGAGTTGATGATGTTTTATATGAATCTGGGCAGCTGGCATTTTTTCAGGCAGCTTCTCAGAGTGAAATGCAGATCTTGGCACGGTTGTTGTGGCACGTATAGGTTCTTTAAGTACTGCGTAGTCAGAATGCCGCAATCGGTGATTAAAGGGTTCACAAAGACTGGATTAGGAAGTTGCATTTAGTACAAATAAACCAACTTGTAATTACATCTGTCTGTTCCTGTTACTTGTCCTACAAGACTGAACAGTTTGCTATTTTAAGCAATAGTTAGTGGTATTTATTTGATGATAATTTGCGTAAACAAATGGGTGTTTATTAGGTATAATGCTGAAAAGTTGTACCTGAGGCAAAGTTGAATGGGATGCCTTTTTTGTGGGGTAACAGAACTTCTAAGACTTAGCTTAGGACAGAATTTCTGGCTTGGTCTGGCTCAGCTCCAGGTACTGTCACTGGCACCTGACGTCAGATCCACGGGCCCGTCTTCGGCGTTACATCCCATCCGGGACGCGTGTGACACCTACGGAATCACAGCGTGCCAGCTGAGGAGAACTGAGGAGAAGTTTCCCCACCACCACCCCTGCCTTTGGTGGCTTTGATGCCTCTCTCCGCCGTCTAACTTTATACGCAGCCCCTTTCCTCAGAGGAGGAGCCTTTTTAGCTATAAGCCGCTGTAAATACCTGTTTGTTGTTCTCAGGACGTTTTATAAAGCGACTCATTCTGCATTTCTCTTCACCCTTTTGTGGTGGCAGAATCAAAATGCAGTATGAACCATCAGCAGGCCCTCAGGGTACTGGGAGCAGAGCTGAGCGTCTGCTGCAGAAAGCCATTTGGCAATCTTGGCACTCGGCTGCACCTGCTTCCAGACCCTTTCCCCTTGTGCCCTCATTCCCCGAATTCCTTTCTACCCTTGCACACTTTTCCTCGACTTCTTCCAGCCACCTGCTCAGCCCTTCGCCCTGGCCCTGCCCTCCCTCAGCGCCGGGCTCAGGTGCGGTTCCCTCTCTTTTTGCCACCCCCTCAGAGGACTCGGGGGGATGGCTGTTCCTCTCATGCGATCCTTGACTGGATTCTGCTGGTACGGTCCTCGTGGATTTTTATTTATTCTTTTGTTATTAATAGCAAAAAAAAGAAGGCCCAGCCTCTAATACTCGTAACACATTCTGTTCTGCTTTGTCGTCATTGGTAATGATGTAGCATATGTGCATACACTCACAAGTAATTAAGACAACCTCCTAAATTACTGTTGAGACACAGTAGCTGTATGAAGTGAAAGGGGTTCTGTTAACCATGGCAGTAACTTATTCAGCTCGTTTTGGGGGGGCGGATTTTCACAACTTCTGTAATAACACCACTGTTCTGTTTATGGAAACCGATTTTTCTCCTCCACAGAGTACGTTCAGACTGCCAGCAGCTCCGCGTTCCTGCAGTCCCTCCTCGACTGAGGTCAGGAGCCCCTCCGTCTGCTCTGTGACTGCCCCACGTACAGGTAGTACAATCAGAAGGACTGAGGCACTTAATTTTAGAACGTTTGCAGAGCGATCTCGTGTGTAGGCCTGCAGACAAGGCACTAACGGCTTGATGGGAACCCAGTTGTTACTCTGCACGTGGTATTTCTTGTTAGGGGGTTGTTAAGCAAAGTGACAAACTGAATCTGTAGAAACTCTGTCCCGCTCTGAAACATCCGATAGCGTTTTTCCTCGGCACACTGTCTGTTTCTAACTGGCTGTTCTTTTCAGGAATGGCAATTCAGCTGTTACACACGTAACAAAAAAGAAAATTTGTGTAGTTCAGCTTATACCTTCTCAACTGCCGCGACTGATGCCCTGGAGTTCACCGAGGAGCTGCCTCCCGCAGCCCTGCTCTGCTATCGATGCCAGCACTGCTTCACCGCCCGCGCTCGGGCTTTGCTTTCCCGCGAAGCCGCTGTCTGCCCCCTTCTCCACCGTACTACTAATGCAGAGGCAGACTCCTCCGCTCCCTCCTGGCAGCCAGAACAACTCGGCCAGCCAAGGCCTCCAAGCAGAGCTCTTTTCCCAGCGAGGACAGCAGGCCGCAGGGCAGATGGGCTGGTTGAAATAGCAGCAGCACCAGCAGCCGCCCACTTCCAACCCCTCGGCTTCCCCAGGAGCATCATCTCGCACCCCTGGTTCCTCGCTGCGCGTGCCCCTCAGACAGGCTGGGCTTGCTGCCCATCAAACCACTGCGTCAACTCTCTTAGCACTCCCAGAGCAGAAAGCATAAAACAATACACCGACAGACCCCTCGAGAGTTGGTTTTTTTTTTTCTTTTCACATTCTTCCTCTTTTGGCTACTCATCTTTGTCCCCGTGTTGTAAGGAAAAGCCCAGTTAGCGACTGACCTTGTCTAGCATCGGGTATTACCTGTGCATGAGAAAACTCGTTGCTTCTAGGTTTCATAAAGAAGTCTTGTGAGACCAAGGCGTCTCTAAAGATGACAATAGCTGCAGATGACGTCAATTCCCCGCATAGTGTGAGAACATCTCTCCTTGGGAAAGTTAAAGTATTCTAATTCATGTAATTGAGGAATATGGAAAAGTAGATCTGTAGGTTTTACAAGGTGCCTGAGTTAGTGCAGCGGTGAGCTCACGCACGCAGGCATTTTGCATCTCAATGAAGGTTAACTTTTAGATTAAAAACTACAGCATTTCCTTAAAACATCTTAAAACGTTCCTGCAGTTCAAGGGAGACCGTCTGTTGCTCTGCGTTGCCTTAGGATGTATGTGTGTCCCTCTGGATTTTTTACGCAGTGAGGCAAGTTCTGGACATGGGACAGACCTGTAATTCTGAACGGATCACACGAATGATGATGCAGTTGCCTAATTGCCATTTATTTTAGTCGTTCCTTATCTCCGCACAGGCATTATGTGAGAAATGCATTCCGCATCAACCCAAAGTTCTACATCTGCTTGACTGTACTTAAAAGGAGAGAAGAAATGACTGTAAACCTATCCCCCCAGCAAATACCAGTTCGGGATTGCTCATTGCGCTAGGCAGGTGCACATCTAGATAAAATTTCTGGCATCTATTTAAACTTAACAATGTGCACAACCAGATGATCTCAATGTAAATAATACAGCAGGGTCGGTTTATGCAAGCCTGTGTACAAAATGCTGATGTAGGTTTGCTGCTGCATGGAAAATAAACTGTATTTTCTGTATGTTCTTACTGCAAATAGATAATTGTGCTGCCTTGGGGTTTTGGTTTTTTCCCCTCCAAGAACGGGGTGAGGAGAAGCCATGTTAAAAGATGAACTTTGGGTCCCAGGCTTCCAGTGGGAAATGGTTCCTTCCTGCTGGGGTGGGGTGGGCGGGTGTGTGCATGCACACGCTGCTTTAATCCGTTCCTCATCCCCCAAAAGCTAACAAAACCCAATGTAAATTAATGGATCTAGCTTTGCAACAGCCTGCCTAAAAATTTATGACTTTTTTCTAACGATTGGGCTCAAAAGAGAGGAAGCTCTATTGTGCAAGGAATTATTCTGAGTGCTGAAGGTGTTCAAGCTGTTTACAAACACCACTTGCCCCGTCCGGGCCTGCCACAGTTAGGGACGGATTTGTCATCTGCGACGACATTTCTGCTGAAGTCCACCCAAGGCCCACGCTATCAAGGTATCGGCTTCAAGCCCCCAGTGTTAAAACACGTGGCTCCGCAAACATTTGCTTTTTAGGTCAACGTTTTAGTTTAAGTTTTGGTATTTAATGATAAAACAGTTTCTTCTCTTTTTCATTAGCCTCCAAGCCACCTCTCCATCCTAGTGAACACCCTGCGTCTCAAATCATCGAGTTAGGTGCAGCCTCGCTCCTTCTGAAAGAGTGCAGTAGAATGATTTATATGTTTCTTTCAGAAAGTTCAACATAAATGCGCACAAGTGAACGTCCTTTCTACCACTGCAACGTACTGTTACTCAAACAGATAAACGGCTTTTCTTACAACTAAAATTCTAAAAACCAAAATGATAAATGCATTCCAGTGTGTGGTTAAACACATATGCACATAAGCTTTGGGCGTTTTTAATTAATAAAAATGTTTTTGCACTGTGCAGTCTGCCTGGGAAAAAACCATTAGTAATGGTGTCAGTTACCCTCTTTACCTTCTACACCGTTCTCATTTATGCTTTCTGTGCTGGTGGTTCGTGTTGTAGGTACAAGATTCACCAGCTGACTGCTTTGTACATAATGCCTGAACCAGCAACAGGTTATAACACCCGACTGTAACCTCTGTAACTGGAAATTAAAATAATTATTGATCCGAGAAGAGTCTGTAAATGACCTGTATGCCAGTCTGAATCAAGGTGTTCTCCGTAGTCTTAGAACAAACTAAAACTCTTACAGAAAGAAAAGGTGATGATGGGCAACAAGTTACAGCAGTAACTTACACCACAGCAAGTATTAAATATCGTGACATTTGGTATTTAATCATTTTTTAGGGAAATACAAAGATTCTGCTGCAGATACTCCTCACACATGCCTTAGCTGTTTAAGCAGTTACTGTTGCTTTGCCCTCTCTAGGGCTGTACTAGGCTTTTGCCTTTCCGAAACAGCTGGGTCTGCTAAGAACCATTTCCAGTTCCCCACAAGGTGGATCGTATGACTCTCACTTTATCACCCCTGGAGGCCATCTCAAGGACAAAGAAAAGAGATACACCCAAAACTAATGTTTTTATACGGGGGGGAAGGATTGCGCCACCATCCCATGAGGAACACAAGAGAGCAGGCCAATTAGAACCTGAAATCGTTCTGCTTCCTTCCATCTTAATTTGCCATTTCAAATTGATGTTCTTCAATTTCATTGAAGCCTTTCACCCAGCCCTGCTTGCAGGGAACACGGGGGTTTTCAGCTTTCGCAGCCGCTGGAGACAAAGATTCCTATTTATGTGTCTCGATACAAACCAATGCCACTCGGCCTACGCTTCTGAAAAGAAAGGCCACGCTGTGGGCAGAGCTCTTGCATGCCATGATTAGTGTCACACCCTCCGAGAAATTCTAAATACTTGTGAAAATGTTTAAATTTTGTTGCTTTATATTGAACTGCTAAATTGCTAAACTGTACTCACCCCCAATAACGTTACAGTTACTACTCAAGAGCACCTTTTTTATTTTGTCTTAGCTGCTGTGGGTATAACGTTGGCCACAGTTACTTTTTCCACAACAAATAAAGCTGGAAAAAAAGAATAAATACACTCCGGTTGTAGACACTTCATTTACAGTATTCCTAACCGACACAGGTGGAAGTTCCCAGAACAGCTGATTCACACACTCACACCCGATGCTGCAGAGACAGCCCCAGAACGTGCTCCTGTCAATGACAGTTCAGTATGTGACAGCGCGGCCAGGGCAGCGGAGAAGCCTTTAAACCAGGAGGGGCTGGCTTTTTTTTTTTCTTATTATATATAATATTTCTTCTATCTTTTTATACACATATAAGAAAAAGGATAGACTGACTCCTAATTAAACTATACAACCATGAATTGCTTTATGATTTGTTTTCTTACTACTTGCTTCGTTACGTATATAATTATTCAGTCAGTTTGTATGCTCTGAACCCTTGGCACTGGAGGCTGTCCTGTGCAGAGGGAGAAACTGCAGAGATTCCTTCAGTTTACAGCTGCAAATTACTGCGCAGTACGGGGTGGCTTCCATTGGGGCAGGGTTTAGTTTGGGGTTTGGTGGTTTTTTTCCCTGAAGAGCCAAGTACCTGCTTTCAAACCGCACCTTTTAATTCAACGGAACCAAGATCTTGTGCTTTTCAGTCCCGTTAGAAACAATTGTTGAGTCGTAAGACTACAACAGCATTAAACCCAAGCCATAGCTGCTGACCCACAGCGAAGGAGGAAAGGTATTCCAGCCCGCCGCAAATACAAGAACCTTCCCCTTTCCAAACGTCACAGGCGCTACCTTTGGCGCGTCTCCCTGGCTTGCGCTATTCTCCAGCGTTCCCAAAGGTAGCAGCTGAAGAACGAAGTGCTCTGCTTCGATCACAGCAGGCGGAGAGTGCCTCACAGCGACGCGATACAGCCTGGATCAACCGCAGTGTGTCGTACCAAACAACGATGGAGGACAGAGAGAGTCTTGCCTGGTCAGTTTATGTCATAAAACAATTCAGCAAGACAACTGAAGAGCTACCAGTCAAGAGTTTACTTCACCTGCACTGCTCCACTTGCTCATGGTTTTCGTGCTGGGAAAGGTGGAAATGTAACACTAACAAAACGGTTTGCTGTTTTGCTAGTGCAGCCGGGGTATTTCAGCATTAATTCAAAATTTGGTCCTTTATTAGGTATTTTAAGATTACAAATGGTAACAAAAGTATTACACTTCTGAAGAAAACACACCAAATCACATTTCCAAGTGCTCTTCAAAACACTTCTTGAAAACAGTCCTTGATGACTCTATGTTTAAATATGCACGAGTTTCCTCATTTTCACTAGGTTACAGGAATTGTATTACATCTCAAGCAGGTTCACCTGCAATGCCAGACACCGTTCACTGACAATACTCTGTCCTTTCACAGTTTAGTCCTTGATCTTCACGGGTCGATTAACTGATTTTCTTCTGACTTCTACTATTCTTTGAGTCCCAGAGTACAACAACATTAAAATACACCCAAAATAATAAAAAGTGTAAGCAAGAAATAACGGACACAGATACAGGGAATAAATCCGGTAACCTCTGTGGAGGAGGCACTGCAGCACTCATTAGAGACAGGACGCCCATCAGGGTTACGGAAAGAAGAAACTGTAAGATAAGGAACGATGTATTAGCTAACGGTGATGTAACACCTCAAACGAGTAAGCTGTTACTTTCATTACTTGCGTGCTCTGTATTCTTTGGTCTATACAGAGATGACACTGCAGAAAAAAAATTACAGCACACTTCCACACTGTCATGGCGTGGCTTTCCCTGTTTGGGGCTCTACGCACAGTTACGGACATAAAACTGGTTTATGCAAGTACTTTAGTTATCGTGAGGAGCTGCAAGTAAGAGCTACAGGAAGTAAAACTGCTTACCAGGCTCCTGACAATCTTGGGAAATGACTTAAACCAAGAAACGTAACCCTTCAGGGAAAGGGAGAATGGTTTCAGCTGCAGGTCCTCTGCCGAAGTCTTCTCAAATATGGAAAAGGAAGCCGTGCAGACTGACAGGAATGACAGCGTTGTCGCAGCGTAGGCCAGCAGCAGGCCATCTTTCAGGAGAAGAGGCAACATGCTGTTAAAACAGAATTACCTACAGAAGTGAGTGCGTATTCCCAGTTATATTTCAAAGAATGCAAAAAAGAGGAAAAAAGAACACATTTACCCTTACTAGAACTGGGGAAGAACACCGTTTCAAAATAATGTCAATAATGTCCAACTCACCTGAAAGTTGATACAAGTAAAAACCACGTAGCCATAAAAGGGATTTCGTTGATGATTAAGCAGACTGGTCTAGAACAAAAAGAGGAAAAACAGCCATGCAGACACTGGAGTGACAGCACTGCAACCTCAACCCTGCACAGGGGTGCTGCGCTCCCACTCCTCTGGGAGGCAGGGCACAGCTCGACTCTGCACCGGCACAGGCTCAGGAAATCCAGAAACAGGCAGTGCCCAAAACACTGCATCCTCTGCCAGGGGATGAGGATCCCCTGCACGCCCCTGGACCCTGGTGTCCAAATACTCTGCCCCACGTGGGGGTCTGCAGCTGGGGAGTCACTCCGTGCGTACCACTGGCACGCACAGCCAGCCAGTTCAGCGCCCGCTCTCTGCCAGGCTTCTTGTTGGCTTTGAGGAGCACCTCTACTGCGACTTCTAGGCAGGTGCCTATAGAGATAACGGAGTTCTTTGGGGCAGGGGATGGGAATAACACACCTCAGGGGCTAAAGGGAGAGAGAGGGCCCCTTCACCATCGCTGTTAGCGAGGTATCAATCGCCTGGTTCAACCTGCCACCGTGCTCCAGCCTCGCTGGGCAGGTAAGTACACGTCTCTGGCAGCATCGCCTTAACCAACCCCACCGCCAGTCCGTCCCTGGGCAAACAGCTATGTTCTGAGCCACAGCGGACTCCGGGAAACGCGGTCGAAACGCTGGCCCGGAGACAGGAGTGAAGCAGGAGAGACCAGCATGGCGGGATTTGTATGCTTTCATTTACAAGTTATTCAGAAAAGCAAATGCGCAGAGTTTTTTAAATCAGCTATAGCTGTAAGTGTGAAAGCAGCATGCAATAACAAGATGGGGAAAAGAAGATCAGAATATATCCACAGAAAAATAATTTACTTACACTGACACTAGAAGAATAGATTTTTCATGTACTTGAAAGGAGAACAGGAAAAATGACAACGCACAACTAACCTTAGAAGAGGAAATCGGAGATATATTAGTATATGTGACTGCAATGCAAAGCACTGTTTCAGTTTCTCTGCTGGCTTAGACTTTACACAAACCTATGAGCTAAGTGATCTGATTTTTCTAATTAACTGCTACATTTACTCCAGTGCAATTTACAAGTACACAGAGCTGCTCCTGTAACCACCTATACCTACCAAAAAAATCCATCGTTTGAAAGTCTACCCAGAATTATTCAGAAAGCGCTTCATGTAAAGAGCCCTCACTCTTGCTTAGCTTTACCGACAAGAGTATCCTCACCAAGTAAACACAATATTCACATACGTAAGCGCTGGCAAAGTGCAGTCATGGTGAGAACTACCCACTTTTTTGATGTAAAATTTTGCTCATCATCACCAACAGCCAATACACCAAAGTAAATAAACTGTCTTTTTTTTTCCCCACCAAATAAAAAACACAGTATAAAACATAAACCAATTCTTAGAAAGGATAAATGTTAGTTTTAGGCAATGTTGCGATAAACTCTCAAACATTACTCACATAAATTAAAAATAGAAGTTACCTTGTAACTCTTGAAACGTTAGGACCAGCTCTATATAATCTTGACTTCAAGGAAAACTGATTTTTGCATGTAAGTCATGTTCATGTGCTTAAATTCAATGATATGACGAAGAAAAGGCAAACACTTGGGAAAATAATATTCTCTTTTCAAACCGCTAATGAGCTTACAGTGTCCACCGTGGGACTGACTTTATTGAATTTTGCAGCCAACACAGTAAGAAAAACTAGCACTTTGGAAGCTAAACAAAAAGAGAAATTCCAACTCTATTTGAGGCTTTAACGTGGACAGAATCTTCTAAAGACTTTTCAAAGGAAAAGAATAAAAATACAGCATTAAAGAAAGGAAACTGAGGCTAAGGAAAAAAGCCTGGATTTAAAAGACAGGTCAGACCCCCCCCGGATACGTGATAGCAAAACACTTTTTAACCAGTCTCTTCAGCGGAAACAGAACAGCACTGAATGGTACACACGCACTTCTGCGCATTGCAGCAACTGTAAGTAGAACTGTTGGTCGCACACCAGTGCGCAGTGGTGGACACAAAACAAGGAGCAACTAAAAACATACACTTACCAAAGCAAATTTAAATCCTCGGAGAGAAGGCTGGACAGTTAGTTTTATACAGGTAGGAAGCAAGCTCAGGAATGTTACAGCAAAACTAAAGAAGTTTATAAGAAAAACAGTTTTAATACATGAGTAACTACATCTCTGATATCATATAATTACTTTTGAAAACTATGCCAGTTAGGAACTCAGTTGTAATTTTCAGAAGTACAAAATCACTCAAGGAGACTCAATCACAAGTGAAGAGCACTGAATGGTCCTCACTGACATAACTGCTTTTGAAAAAAGGAATAAAGCATTTCCATTGATATTTCAGACTCTGTAGACCTAGACTTGAATTCTTCACTTAGTTAAAACAGAGTTAAAATTTGCATGCTTTCCTCTTCAAAGAATTGCCTCTTAGCGCTCGTAGGAGTCAGAGCTCACCCTTCTGGTTTTTGATTAAGTAGGTTAAATCACTACATAAACAAGCAGGACATTTTTCAGCTATAAATATTCCTGACGGTACTTGGGGAAACCCTTCTCACTTGGCAGAAAAGTACAGCACAGGAAAGAAAACATTTTTTCCAGATTTTAAACACCACTTCTAATGCTTTGGCAAAAATTACTCATTCTGCAAAAAATAATGCAGATAAAAAAAACCTACCTAAAGCACTTCAGTTATGTCTTACCTGAGTTTTAGTTGAGTTTGAGGTGATACTATATTCTTTATCTTTATGAGGACACTTAGACTGCACCAAATATTGGCTACTTTATCCTGGAAGGGAAAAAAAAAAAAAAGAACAACACACAAACACGTAATTAGTGATAATTTCATTCATTTAAACCGGTTTGTGACAACAATGGGGCTTGGGAGGTGGGGCATTTGGGAGTTTTTACTATAATACTGCAAACAGGCACTTGCTGCCAAAAGACACTTGCAGATATACATCACGTTCCTAGGTGTACTTTAAATTATTCTGATCTTCAAAAATTGAAAGTTTCAAGAGACTCAACTAAAACATGTTCTAAAATCACTGAGAAATAGCTCTTTCAGCACAAGAGACTGCTTCTTAACTCATGAAGTCACACATTTTGTGAAAACAAGGCTCTGAAACTATCTGTCCCTGACTAAACGTTGGTATATATGAATCTTTTTTTCAAACGTGAAGACATTCTGCATGCTGTCACATTGCATTACATACCTGAATGTATTTAGCTGTGCTTACTGCTTGCTAGCAATGACAGAGTTAACCTCTAATAAATCAAGAAGTCTAAAGACATTAGCAGTTGTGCTAGGATCGCTTTCAAAATTAAATTTGTAACTACAGCTATCATGCTCATGAAACTCATCCCTAAACAGCTGCTTGAATCACAGCTGTGTAGACATAACAGCAAGAAAGCTACCAGCACCAACAACTGAGCCATCTTCCTCATATGCTCCCTAGCAATACAGAATATGCGCTTCAAATCTGCTGAGGATTACAAGTGAACAGAGGGTTTGGCAGCACCAGTGAACACACAGGACGCCTACTTAATAGCCAATACGATTTTACAACCATCAGCATTTGTTACTGCTGCTGTAACTGGGAACCAATTCAAAGAACCTGTTACACGCACCCCAGTATAAATTTACTGCGCATTGCTTACGTGGACAATTTCTCATTTTATCTAGATTAGCATCCAGCAAGTCACTCCCCTGATCAACTCAGAAAATATTTGGGCTAATATTAGACTAAAATCCTTAAGCTCTTTCAGACTCGTTGCTAATTGTCATTTACAAATTTTATTTTTAAACTTAGTACTGACTAAAAAGTGTGGAGACAAAAACTATTTATTTATAAATTCCAGTGAACTCCCAAGAAATAGGGCCATT